CTGCCAAATTCATATAACGATTTTGATTTCCGCCATATCTTTTATCTTATTAATAAAAATTGCTTTTTGCATTATATAAAGGTTGAACCTCAACCTTGAGAGCTCTCACCGTCCCGCCTCCAGTGCTTTGTGAAGGAGGTAAATCGCGGAATGTACCCCAGTAGGCCAGGGAACAAGAGCTGCTTATACACTGCGCCTATAAAGAGTCCAATTCCATGTCTCAGGAATCGAACCCCCACACTGCGGTTACCAGTAAGGCGTGAGATAACCTCACTCCCGTCCTTTGCACCATTGCACTATGCACTGGGGGCGCTTTTTGCATTATATTATCATACTCAAAATTGAAAAATTGGAGTTGTATACTATGCATGTATTTTCAAGAATCTTTAAATTTTTGAAAAAAATTAGATATTGAGAATTAGAAACCTAATTCTAAATCAGTAAAAGCAAAAATTGCAGCAAGAAAATAGTTAACAGAAGAGCACACAAGTTTTAAAATGTTTATCTCAATGTAAGGGTACATTATCTTCTGTCGCTATAGTAATTTATTATGATGAACAAAAAAAATTACAAGAGAAAAAAGCAAACCCTATTTTTTCTAATCTCTTTTTTTTTTTTTCATTATTAAAATAATGAAAAACCGTAATAATGGCTCCCATTTATAAGATAAATTAAGGTAAAACTGAAATTATGCGTATAAATTTTGTACAGTAACAATAATTAGACTCGGCAACTTAACATTAAAATATTAAAATTGTCTCCAAAAGTACCTCTATGGTACCAAGAAATTTGATAGAAATCAATTCGTACATTTGTAGCGGGTCGAAGTCCACAACACTGTCCCTACCAAAAAGAAAGGAAAGAAAAGAATGAATGCCACTACAAGTACACTATGCTTATAAAGAAGTTCACTTTTTTCTGCATACACTTCAACAATTCTTACTACATTTTGAACCAATATGTGCACGCTTTCTGTGCTTTGTCTGCCCAAAAAATTCACTCAATCCTTCTTTTGAAAGATAATTAATTTTTTATTAAAAATAGAATTGAATGGGCACAAAATAATTGACTATTTATGAGGTATAATTAGTTAATTAATTACATGCAACTTTAGGTGCTTCATACAATTCTGTATTGCATGCATGCATTCTAACTAACACGACTTGTATTTCTCCCATTTTTTTATGGAAACTTTTAGGTTAAAATATGGTTTTATGAACTACGAGTAACTTCGTAAATAAGTCATGTCGAGATTTCAAAAGAGGAAACTTGCATGTTCGATATATTATATATACTATGTTAAATTATCTTGTTCAAAATCTTAATATATTAAAAGAAGATATGCTGTATATATTTATGTTTTAAATCCAACGCAGTTGGGTAGAGAATGATTAAAAGAATTAAGCTTCCAACTTCAAAAAAGGAAAAGTAAATTATATATAGGATCCAAAATTGTTCAAAAATGCTAAGCTACGACTAAAAATTTCCTAGCATATATATCAGCCTACGAGGGAAAACATAGATTTTGATAGTCTTGCATCACGTGTGAGACTTTTGTTGGAAAAATAAATATGATTTGCAAACCAAGAGACGTGTGTGTGATTTTTTTATTAAAAAATATTTATGAATTGCGAGAGATGTATTGAAAACTAAATTCAAATAAATTAATGTATTATATATTTAACCTTAAGTTTTTAAATAACATATCTCAAAAAGTAAATATGCTAAATAAAGTGGATTGACAAGGGCAATGAAATCAGTTGCTTTTAACCCTTACATTGTGCTCCCGAGGAGGGAATTTAGTTTATTCTTATTCTTTTGCACATTTAATTAGAGGTTAGGTAGAGCTCCCTGTTACGTATATATCAAATTTTATTTATCTGAGTTATAAATAAAACATACCACATATAGAGGTCTATACCCAAAAAAATAAAATAAAATAAAAAATTATTTAGAACCCAACAACTAATATGAAAAAAATAAAAATAAAAATGCTTCAGTTGGTGATTTTGGTTGACTTGCATCTATAATATATTACTTCAAGTGAATAATTTTTTGGACGATTTTAATCATACTATAATTCAATTATTTCAATTTACAACTTTTCATTTTTCAATATGTAATAAATACAATAAATCATTGTTATGTATGAATTTTGTGTTATTAATTCTCAATTAATTACATTCACAATAATATAGAATTAATGAATCTTGACTTAGTGAATCTTAGTTTGCATGAATCTAAATATATTATAGATTAATTTATCTTTATTTATGTATTTAGGAATTTTAATGGGTGTTTAAATTCATGTATGAACAATTAATTCTTATGTACCAAATATAGTATATAAATGTTGCTTATTTGTAGCACTTCATCATCACAAAAAGTTTGAATCATAGAAGTTAAATTTTGAGAGTACAATTTTCTTCTTTTAAATTTATATCTTAAATTTTTATTTTCTTTAATTTGTTAGAGACTTATCAAACCTCCCAACAAATTGATATCAAATATTATTTTTATAGTACTTATAAAATATTTTAGAATCACGTGCAATGTGCGTTCAACTCTGATCAGTGAAAAAACACACAGAAAATTATATTTTGATTTAATCTGATTATTTTTCCAAACATTTTCTTTATTTAGTCTTTCTTGTCAAGGGGCCATTCTCTGTAAAAAGTAATCGAATATGAAAAATTCTTTTTTTCTTTCTTGAGGTGACTCCAATACATAAAGCCCTGACATGGTTATATTTTGTCAAGATTCAATGATGAACTTGTTTTTAGTTTGGTTTTAATAATGTATTATCATAATTGTTTTTAGTAAGAATGATCAAATAAATTTTCGTGTAAATAATAGCATTCAGTTGAATCCTCCTTATTTATTGGGATATATATTGAGCCTTATAATTGTATGTATATATTGAGCAACAAGAATTGTATATGATCCAAATGATTCATAAGACATAGGTTTTAACTTATAAGAATCTCAAGTCCCCTCGAGTGAGCTCAACAATAAAAGTTTTGTAAACCTAGCTAGAACATATGTTTATGCAGGAAAGAAATGACATTTGGAAGTATTCGACTAAACAGTATAATGAATGTTTCAAGAAAGTTGATTAGTTTTTGTGTCTATATATAATTCATCAAATTTATGTAGGAACCTTCATTCTAAGAGAGGATTAATAGAAATAACACTCCCTATAGTGCTTCTCCTTAAAAAAGTTGTGGGGTTTCTATGATGGTTATTTGAGGGGAAAGATAAGGAATAAATTTAGCAATGGTCGAACCACCTCCTTTTTTAGCCCTCTTTCCTTTTTCCATTTTTTTGCTTTATACTCTTTTCTTTCTTCACTTCAATCATGCCTCTTCAAGTTTTGCATAGCTGTAAATAAGTACAAAACTTATTCTGTCTTAGAGACGTTGAAAAATAATAAACTTGTCTTGTTTGGTTCGTTAAACTAGATATGATTATTGAAAAGATAACCATAGAAGAAAATTAAGTCATTTCTCAACAATTAGGAATCAGCTACACGAATTCTTTTCACCACTTTGTTCGATTCATTATAGATCTATTAAACGATTGACAAAATAAAGAAGCGAAATTCTTGTCGATTGTATAAAATATAGTGTTTTTAATATAGCATTTCGTGTTTTGAAAATATATTTGGCAGCTTTCTTTATATGGTTCACCTAGTGGGTGATTTTTAGATATAATGCCAACTTCCCAATGATGAATACATCTGGTATTGTGTCCCATGTCAGGATTGGGCAGTGATAACTTATGATATTACCTCAAATCTACCAAATAATTTAGCCACGGTTTGATTTTCTTTTTACAAAAAATTATTTTTTTCAAAATTCATTTTTAACCACATATTCTTCCAATAAAATAATTTTACATGTAAACCCATTTTTCGTACTTTTTAACCACACAATTTCCAAAAAATCACCATTACAAAATCTATTTTACCTTAAAAATGGGGTCAAACAACTTCTTAGTGCATTTAACACCAAAATTCTTTGTGAAAATGCCAAAGGAACTCCATACAGTGCTTCAGTGTGTGTGATAGCATAAAATGTTTAGGTTGGCAAAAAAAAGAAAAAAAATGACATTTAGAAGTGCTACGACCCGTTACAGTTGGGATCGACTACATAAAACCTTTCATTGATAAATTAATTAGATTTTTAGTAACCACAACACGCTATATTGATGTTTACTCCTTTTGACATGTTTACTATGACGTCCTCATTTCCCTAAAGTTCATCTTATGGTGTCCTACAAAGCATAATTTATCTAATTATCATTTTGTAGAATTGACACTTTAACCTTAAGCAGATGATGCATAAATGAAGAACCCACTAATGCAGGCATTTCACGTGCTTGTATGATACACGAGATTGTGGCTCACACGCTCCTTAATATTAAGTTGTGGAGCTTAATTATTTATTAAACGAATGGACCTCGTATTTAAAATAATTTAGGAATTTTACAATTGTAATTTCGACTCTGCCCTAATTTTTCTTTTAAATAAGAAGCAGTTATTGAGGTTTAGATATCATCATGAGAGAGAGAGAGAGAGAGAGAGAGAGAATAATTGCAATGACGGACGATGAAATAGTCTAAAATCGAGACGAATATTTATAAATCTTGTGTGTTCTTTTTTGTCTTTATTTTCTTACTATAATTTTACTACTCTTGGTGATATAAAATTAGAGTTTCTAATACTTGAACACTTGCATTTCTCCATACATCTTATTAGGAAACACCAAGGCACTCTCTTTTCCCTCAACCCCGACACAAATGTCCGTCTATTGGTTTCTTTAACTTTGTTTCTTCAGACAAGGTATAGTATTAGTTAAGTTAAGAATCAAGATTATCGACATCAAAACACAAAAGCGTACTCCCTAAGATTATTGCACAACTTTTACTTTACATTTTTTTATTGTAATATAAATATAATCATACTGAGTTTCAGTTGCATCTTCTATAAAGCTTGAAGATACACAAAGTGGCTCAAGTTAAAATAAAAGCCGAATGCATTGAAACTAGAGGAAATTGCTTCAAGACAAAGATAATTATTCTTTAATGAAAGCCTTGCAAGTTTGTCTCTAGATATCTCGTTTTCTGGTAATTATCTGATTGCTCCATCTTTCGTTTCCATTTTGCATAATTATGATTAGGTTGTTAGAGGTAAGAAGAAGGAGGGGTCGGCTGAAACGAACATGGCCTTGAGTTTATTCAAGGATCTCTTCGACTAAACCTAGTAAAATATTCATGTAGTCGACCCCAAATTTATCTCGTAACAAGCATTCGTTTTTGGTGTTGTTTGTTGCTGCTATTTCCTTTTTTAGCACCCTCTCAAGAAAAATCTTGATCATCATTCATCAGAATCCATCCTCATATTATCAGTATGATTATCAGTCTGCAATTGCAATTGGTTATTTTCTGGACATGTTTATGCAGAAAAATTCAAGAAAACAATAGACAAGAAGGACAAGAAGCCCGTCACATTATGTTATCATCTGGGGAATTTTCATTAATTTTAGAGATGTTAGATTAAGATATTATTGAACCAAAATTTTTTAAAACTTTTCAACCCCAAAGACATATCGTGTTATTTTTATGATTTGTTTGTCAAGGTAGACTCTACACTGCAGGGGCGGATCCAACGCCTAGTGAGCCCCACGGCCACGCATGCTAGATCCACCGGGAGTCATTTTTTTTTTGTTGGCAATATATTAAAGTCTTAGTTTATATTAGTCATAATTCAGTTTATTTTCAAACATCTCTTGTGGCTCACTTGCTTAGAGTTTGAATGTACATAGTGCAGGTTCTAGGTTCGAATTCTTTACCAATAAATTTATTGTGCAATATTTTAATTCTACAATTTTTGCTAGGATTCAAACTTGTGACCTCTTGTTAGAGGTATTGTAAGCTTGACCATTATGGCATCCTCAAGAAATTTAACAAAATAATATTTCTTAGGTTTTATCTATTTTAATGCAAGTATAATTGTAAATATTATAATCCATGCTCTTCCTCTAAATTATACAAAACTTGGCAATAATGTCATTTGATGAGTCTAGTAGTATTTCGTTCCCAGACATTCCCATAGGTATCTGTATTTCGAAAGTATTACAACTGCCTAACACTTTTCTCTTACCAGGACTAATGAACCCTGCAAATGGAGAGAAGAAATACTGCTTGTAAGTAACCAACTTCAATAAGAGTCGAGTGTACGTATAATGACCTAATATCCATCAACTGACAGAAAATAAACAGCTTGTAAGAATTCTCCGGCCTCGGGGCCACAATCTAAGCCACAGGGTAGGTATGAGCATGTACAATTCAGACAGAACAAAGGCATGGAACATCTATACAAGTTCAGATCCTAGTACAACTCGAACAGATGAAAACATGGAAAGTTCATGGAACAATTTTGGCTCATCCATGAATGCGATTTCTTTCGGGTTTGTTGCAACATTAATCTTGATATCGATGTTTATTATCATGGCCATATTTGAGCATCTGTTTAGGCCAACGACTGCATCTGAAGATGATGCCACAAGGCAATCGGATTCTACAAGTATACAGAAACTTGGAGATCGAGAAACAGTGAGCCTTCTTCTTTACTCTTCTACTTTTCTTTTGTTACATGCTGCTGTCTTTCTTCATGCGATGCCTGTAATTGTGTCCCATCACCAAGTTAAGGCTTGACTTATGGCTTATAATTTATAACCAGTGCTCTAAAAAGCGTTGCCTAGGCTCGAAGTGGGAACAAAACGCCTCGCCTCGTACTTTTTTGCATTTTTTTGGCCCCTAGATGCTCTTTTTTTATGCTTTTTTACTCTTATTTTCGAGCCTAGACTCTTTTTTTCTTTTCTTTTTTTTATGCTTTTATATGCTTTTTAAAGCTTTTTTCCCTTTAATTATTAAATATTTTTTAAATTGATTTAAATTTTTTATGCCCAGGTCAAAACTTGGTCTCTCTGCTTCTATATGCTTTACACTTTTTAGAACACTGATTACAACCATTTAGGTAGCCTCTCTTTATATCCTTTTTAAGGGTTGAGTCTTACCCAATCCGGAAGTAACATTAGGATTAAAACAGACATTTTTCCTACGATGCCCCTCGTTCCAGATGGGACGACCTCTCTCGGAGAGGTATACTTCCGGTACACCGATCGGTTGTCAATTAGAAAAGCTGGTGTGACTCTAATTGAAGCATAGGTTCCAAATAGATGGGTGAACAACATGAGCTAAATGGAGTAGTGAGAAAAAATGCATATAAAATTATTAAATTCAAGGCTTAGTTTATCGAACGTTTTAATTGTCAAGAAAAGTCAGATGAACAAACAAATCAGAATAGTTTCATCTGCATTTTCTTGATTGAATGAATCTAATGAAGTTGTTTCTTGTGACAGGTACAAACATCAGATGCATCAAATTTCACAGTTTTAATGCCAGGACAGCAGTGTCCTACCTTCATTGCTCAACCTGCTCCTCTGCCTTGTCAAAGGGAAGCTGTTTCTTGGCCTCCTCATCAACATAGTTTTGCATTGCCTTAAGACTACAATGTAAACATTCCTGTATCCCATGATTCCCATTAATTATCATGCAAAGATGAATCGACATCTTGCAATGAATAGTATCGGATATGATTAATGAAAAAGAAAAGTTAAAATCTTATTTGTTTTCTAATATTGCGTACTAAATAAACATATGTTAGAACCCTACAACCGCTCGAGCACGAGAATAGATAAATACTCTTTATAATATTATTCCACAAAATCTATCTGTTATTTATATGCTTTTAAGTTTCACAAATATTAAAGACCCACAGCAATGTAGAATTCGTAACTTAAATAATTTTCAAAGAACCTAAGTAAATATCACATTAAAGAAGATATATGTAATGTTAAAAATAGGACGGGAATCCCAAGCATTTCAATTACTGTGATTTTGGATCCCAACCTTCAAAAGTGAAATTTTGGATCATCGGCCTGTCTAAATATGTAATTTAGATTCTCACGTGACAGGAACAGTCATTACACATAATAGCAAGTGATTTTCACTTGATTTAAAGCCGGAGAGCAAAACCATCAAACTACTTAAGGTCTAATTTTAAGTCACGTGATAATTGCTTGAGATTTTAAAGTCCACATCGACGGTTTAAGTCACATAGGGATCTAGATTCACATATTTAAATATGTTGGGACCTAAAACCTCACTTCTGAATATTGGGGACTTAAAATGGCCAAAGCCATGCTGCCTAAAGAAACAGCCAGGTCCTGTGCTTATATATAGAATGAAAAAAAAAAATCCAAGAAACACAACAAATTATCAACTAATATGTATGTAAAATTATTCTTCAATCGAGTTCCAAATGTGGAATACCATTACAAGAAAATGTCACGAATCAAGCTATAACACATTTTAAACACAAACTAGGGGTTATTTCCTTCAAAAAATAAAAGAAAGCGTGAGTAAATTGAAAAGGCTGACTTGGTACTCTGCATACAGCTAACACTAAAAGAAGTCGATCACTATGGTAAAGCACTGTCATTGTCTGTCATGCTGATCAAATCACTCGGTAATTCTCTGTAGATAGCAATGTTCTTTGAAAAAACTTTGGTGGATTTCCGCCCCTCAATGGTAAAATATTAGCCACCTGTGGACAGTGAAATCAATTTTATTAACATTTATCAAAGCAGCAAATTGTGACAATCGAAGCATCGCAACAACTTTGTAATAGCAAAAAGATCTCAACATAAAGTCGCCAATGTCCATTTAAGGATTTCCAACATCTGTCAAGCATTATGCCTGTCCTAATACGATGGTAGGCTGAACAGTGCAAGAAGCTGTGATTTCGTCATAGTATCAAAACCAAACCATGGGAGATGTAGTACCGGTTGAAATAAGGTTCGACTGGCTGAAACCACCCATTTTCAGCCTATATTTCTGGGCACCAGTCCCTAATTCTACAGGCAGAAGAGGGAAGTTGGCAATTCCAGATTTATTTTGCTAGTCAGTCACTGTGTATGTATAATGAAATCTCATTGTATGCATTACAAATGTGAATGCATTCTTGTAGAGGCATGGAAGAGATCAAGTAAATAACTATAATAAATTAGAGCATGATTACAGCAAGATGACGTGATAAAAGGGGTCAGGATATAACCTTTAGATCACTGAAAGTGCTTGTAGAAGTAAAACGCACAGAAATTGGGAAAAAGGTTGATGTGTCCGCGGGAGGAACAACAGATTCCATAGATCCACTGCAGTTTTTTTCCAATATCAAATTAGAAACAATTAACTAAGGTGTGACTGTTGTTTAAAAGTAAAACAGAATAACATCATCGTACGCGGACCTGCGATTTGAGTTATCAATGAGTTCTATAGACCACACCAAAATTGAATTTCAGGAATCATACCTACAACGGAACATTATTGGAATATTTAAAACCTGTTTACAAGTAAAACAATATAATAACATCTATAATAGCAACTTATAATTATAGGAGACATCATGAAAATCTAAACACTATCATCAATGATGCAACGACACGAACACACGGTGACTCGCAATTTTTCAAAAAAGTATTGCCAACGGACTTTGATTAAATTTCTTTAAAATTTTTCATTTATATAATATAAATTTAATTTTATACTTATTATTAGTTTTTCTTGTTGAAATTTTTTTATTCTGAGTACATATTTGTTATTTACTAATAACGTCGAGATAAAAATATATAATATTTAAAAAAAGAAAAATGATCATCATAGATTGTTAAGTGTAGATATCCGACACGTGCCGGATACAGACACATTATTCTAATTAAAGTATCCGTGCAACAAAGACTGACACGTGTCGGATATGGAAACGTTATTCTAGTTGAAGTGTCCGTACGATAGAGGCTATCATTATAGGTCATCCCTGTAGGAATTGGTTCAAATATTAAATGAAAAGGTGTGTAAAAATTGGAAAATGGAAAGGTGTGACTACGTGTCAACTTCGACCATATATTCAAACTTGATCCGATGGTCAAATTACAAAAGTAAATAGACTAACTTATTCTACTCGTTGAATAGATCGTCGTGGTATATTTGGAATCTCGAAACCAATTCCGGATGAATGAGAAATTGCGAACCAAATTTGGAAGAAATGAAGTGTTGCAACTTTTCGAAAGATGCAGGTTTTGGCCAAGTGTTGCAACTTTTTTTGAAAGGATGCATGTTTTTGGCCCACACTACTTCATTTGCACCCTTTCTACATCTATAAATAGAACCCTATGGACATGATTTTGAGTATACCAATTGCATTGAGCATTCATTCTCCTCTTGCAATTCTCTTCTTTCTAGTTCTATAGCATTTCATACATTTCCTTTGTAGAGGGGAAATTCTATCAAAAGTTCATCGATTTCTTATGGTTTGAAGTACTGCTACCACAAGTTGTGAATCCATTGTATTTTGGGAGACAAGTGTCATTCACCGTGAGCACCGTAGCAGGGCAATTTGTCTTAAGGAAAGAGATAACGTTTCGCCTTGGATTATTCTCTATTTCTACTCCTTCTAATTCTTGTTTTGCGTAATCTTTATACCGAAACTCTGTCCAAATTTTTATTCATATAAATTGTGTTTTGATCACGCTCTTGCGGGTCAAAACTGGTCAAACAAATATATCAAAAATTAACTCTTACATAACCCTTTTTATAAGTTGTCTCCCACAATCTTAAGACAAAGTTTGTGTGTCTTTGTGGTTGGTTGTGGACAAACATTACTTTGTCTGAATAGTGCTTTGTGTACTATTCCTCCACTGATATTATCATCATTTTGTTGAACTTCTGTTTGTATAACAGAAATGACTACCATCTGGACTTCATCAAGTCAAAATGGTTCAAATAATGTGGTACCACCCGTGGCCATACCGTTGCATAATACTACTATCCCACGTGGGGAAAAGCCGAAAAAATTTGCAGGAGTAGATTTCAAGAGGTGGCAACAAAAGATGTTGTTTTATCTCACCACTCTTAATTTGGCTAAATTTCTAAAGGAAGCTGCACCGGCTGTACAAGAAGGGGAAAATAATCGTGAATCGATTATTGCTTTGGATGCATGGAAACACTCGGACTTCCTATGCAAGAACTATATCCTAAACGCATTGGATAATACACTATATGGGGTGTATAGTTCAAAGGAATTAGCCAAGGAACTATGGGATTCTTTGGAGACAAAGTACAAAATCGAGGATGCCGGAACAAAGAAGTTCATTGTTGGCAAACTTTTGGACTACAAGATGGTGGATTCCAAAACCGTAATTAGTCAAGTGCAAGAGATTTAAGTCTTGTTACACGACATCCATGCCGAGAAAATGGAATTGAGTGAATAATTCCAAGTGGTTGCTATTATTGAGAAACTCCCTCCTATGTTGAGAGATTTCAAAAATTACCTCAAGCACAAACGCAAGGAAATGAATTTGGAAGAATTGATTGTGCGCTTGATGATTGAAGAGGACAATCGAAAAATCGAATGGAGGCCGGTTGATCAAGATGGTGCAAATTTTGTTGAAATGGAACCAAAGGCAACAAACAAAAAACGAAAGGCTCCTAATTATGCACCGCGAAGAGACAATTCCAAGAAGGCTAAGAAGTTCAAAGGGAATTGTTACAACTGTGGCAAGGCTGGACATCGTTCAAGTGAATGTCGAAAACCAAAGAAGAATGTTCAAGCCCACATGGTTGCAAATAGCACTTTATCTGATGGACTGCAAGAAATGAGTTTATCTGCAGTAGTGTCCGAATGCAACATGATTGAAAATACTAGAGAATAGTGGATTGACACCGACGCTACCCACTATGTGTGTGCGGACAAGGGGATGTTCTCCAACTATCAAGAATTGAATGGGGAACAACTATACATGAGAAATTCTACAAGTTCCAAAGTTGAAGGACAATGCAAAGTCACCTTGAAGATGACATCCAGGAAAGAACTCGTTCTCAACAATGTCCTACATGTGCCGGATATAAGAAAGAATTTAGTGTCCGGGTCTCTATTTAGCAAGAATGGTTTTAAATTTGTATTTGTATCCGATAAATTTGTGTTGTCTAAAAATGAGATGTATGTAGGAAAAGGATACATGTGTGATGGAATGCTCAAGTAGAACGTTCTTACAATTGTACCGAAGTAAGTTGTTATGAGTAAAATTATAAATTTCGTTTACTTACTTGAGCCTTCATGTTTGTGACTTAGTCGATTAGGACATGTGAATTACAAATTGTTGCACAAACTAATAAATCAAAGCTTAATCTTGGCGCATAAAATCAATCCTAGTCATAAATGTGAAATATGTGCTGAAGCAAAATTGGCTAAAACACCGTTCCATTTAATACAAAGGAACACAACCCCTCTTGAATTGATCCATAGCGACATATGCGATCTAAAATTTGTAAAAACTCGAGGTGGTAAGAAATACTTTATGACATTTATTGATGATTGTACAAAGTTTTGCTATTTCTTTCTTTTGAGAAGTAAAGATGAGGCCTTAGATGCATTCAAAACCTATAAGGCTGAAATTGAAACATAACTTGAAAAATGAATAAAAAATATTCGTAGTGATAGAGGAGATGAATATGGGGCATCGTTTGAAAACTTTTGTTTTGAACATGGAATTGTTCATCAAACAACGACACCTTA